GAGCCGTGTGGTGCCGGCGCGGCGTTGAGGTGGACCTCGGCCCGATGAGCGTGTCCGCAGAGAGCAGGGGCCGCACGTACGCACTGCGGCTTTGCTGAAGCAGAAGTATAAAAATGCACCGACTTGGGCTGGGTGTCTGCTCTGTTCTCTAAAAATAAACAAGTAGCGCAAGTTACCTTTAGTTTGACGGCGGGCAGTGCCCGCTTAATTTCGGGTTTAGGCTCTCGTGCCGCAGTGATGACGAGTACTAATGTCCGCAGAGAGCAGGGGCCGCACGTACGCACTGCGGCTTTGCTGAAGCAGAAGTATAAAAATGCACCGACTTGGGCTGGGTGTCTGCTCTGTTCTCTAAAAATAAACAAGTAGCGCAAGTTACCTTTAGTTTGACGGCGGGCAGTGCCCGCTTAATTTCGGGTTTAGGCTCTCGTGCCGCAGTGATGACGAGTACTAATGCTGCCATCATAACCAATTCCTACTCTGAGGAAAGCGGTTAAAGTGGTGGTGTAGGGTGGAGAGCAGCGTGGTGCCTTGTCAAACAAAAAACGAAGACATAGAGAAATGTTACCTGGTAATTACCTGAGATCACCCCCAAAACTGAAGTCAAGCTCGTCCTGATTGTTGTCTTATTTCCACTTTGGACAAAGCTACTTGTAGAAATACCGTGTTACGCTGTTCTGTTACACAGAGCAGGGTTAAAATGCCTTTTCTTGTAAATGCTGCGAGGGGATACTAGGTAGTGCCTAGTCAGAGCTCAGTTTTTATTTTTCAGTGGAAAATGTGTGTGCTTAGGTTTGGATGAAAGACCTGTAAGTGATTATTATAAATTCAAAGTACGTGTGTCTTTGGAGCACTCACAGAAATAAGAAGAAACTGTGCTAATCTAATGTCAAAATCAACCTAGAATTTGTAATCCATTATGTCAAGCATTAATTAATGAGTGAGAACTCATGTTCTCACAATGTTTCCCTAGATTTGTGCAAAAACCCAACTTTTGTAAATGTTTCTCATTACAGAAACAGTTTCTGATGAGCTCCTGAAAGACCAGTGGAAACCCAGATAGATTGTTCAACATATGTACAGCTTTGCCTCTGCCTTATATAATTTCACTGTAGTTGCCCTCAAGCAACCATTCTTCACGCTTACAGGAACTTCTTAAGTCTGAGGTGGGATGTTAACTATTGTGCTGATCGTCATTCTGTTATTAATGCCCTTCTTTTCCCCGTCTGCCTGGATCCGTCAGCTGCCAATTGTCTTACGTGATAAACTTCCAGGGATAGGAACAGGTTTTGCTCCCTCTTTATACCAAGTAGCATGAAAGCATCTTCTTTATAAGCAGCAGTGCCTAGACTCTGGTAATACAAATAATAATCAGTATAACTCATAAGCATCCTTTTTATTCACGAAACACCTATTTCACACTTTTTCAGATCTGAAATACTTGATGTTTCCTGTTCAGTTCTGAAGGCATTTTCTCAAGAAGCTGATGCCAGATAAACTCACCGGAGGAAAATCCTGAAATTTCTGAGAAAGTTGTCATGGCATGGAGGAGGGTAATGCTATGATGCCTGGCCTACTCTGTAATGAATCACAAGTAAATGGTAACCCCTACAGAACCAGAAGAGTGGCATGGAGGTACGTTGTCATCTTAATCACTGCTGTCATCTCAGAGAGTGGGCCTTGGAGTCCTGGCCCTCTTAGTGCCTTGCTTGGCCTATTTACTGCATCCTGCACCGTTGACAGGTAAATGTTACACTGTTCTGCAATGTCAAAAAATGTTTAAATCATCCCTGTAAATTTCGGTGCTGTTTTTGCTGTTGCTACTACTTACCAACTAAAATTTTCAATAGTTGTCATTTAGTCCCACAAAACAGATGCGAGGGGGTTGAACAATGACTTTCGAGTCTTATCTTTTATAACTAGAAATGTCAGTACCAAAGAGGTATGGCATCTTTGGGCTTAAGTATTTTGAAGGTGAGGAGTGTAAAATCCAAGGGAAAGACTGGGCTTAACATACTCGTCTTACTAGCTCTCTCCCCTCTTCTCAACAACTGTACAAATTTACAGGCAGTTGAAGGGACACAGAGAAGTACAGTAAGGATGTGGAAAATATTGATTGTAAGATATGTAATTTATTAGCGATATCATGGAATTACCACTGAGAGCTGAAAAGCAATGCCATTTGGGGATATTTCTTCGGCTTATTAGCTCTTTCAATGCCATTGCATTTTGTAGCTTTGGCTTCAGAAACGGTGCTGCTTTGAAAAAAAGCCAACAAAATCTAAACAGTGAAGGAGGCTCTAGCGGGTTTTGTGCTGTCTGAATAGCAGAGAAATGTGTATTCAGCTTCAAGCTCTGCCATCAACTTCCTGCATCACCTCAGGCAAATCTTCCTTTTGACCTATCGCTGCTTTGATTGCTTAGCTCAAGCTATTATGTAACTAATATTCAGAGGAAAGACAGAGAATTCCCAGAGCTGACAAGCTAAAGCTTTGTAAATTTTGAGCACAAGGCTAAGGAGGTATACGTGAGACTGGAAATTGAAAATAAAGTGCACTTTCCGGAGAGGAAAAAGTTATGAGATAATCAGCAGAACAAGACTACACCCTCAAGGGGGTATTCAGGGTTTTTCTTCCCCTCCTACTTGGTTCATCTTCTTTTGAGAGCCATTAGTTTATTGCATGACCACACTGGTCTGAGAAGCTTTCTGAGATCAATTTTTAGGCTTTGGCTGTACCGCTGTAATGAGAAATGCTAACTCTGATTACTGATAAGACATTGACTACGGGACAATGATTATCACTTCTACATCAACATGTTCACCCTTGAGCTACTTTTCCCTGGTGATACTTAATCTGACATTTTAACTGTCTGTCACTATGTCCTCATCTCTTCACTTCAGTCACAGATCTACATCCAGTGTTTCTCCGACAAAAAACGTGACTTGCTTTATTTGGACTTCACTGGGTGCTTCTCTTTCTTTGAGAAAACAGACCCTACTGCAACCACCTCGTTTGCTTCTGCAGAAAAAACAAAGTTACAATACAGCATCAATTACTTCTATCATTAACCTTTTCCACATTTGCTTCTCTGTCCGCTGTCACACAATTGTTGACTTCATCCTTTCTCTTCCTTCCTCTCTCATTATCCTCTCCCTTCCTATCATGTGTGTCTACTTCATCCTGCCTTCTTTTTTGCCTTCTATTCCTGAATGTCCTTAAGTTTCCTCTCAAATAAATGTTGGTAGTCACAGACCTTCCCTGTCATGAAAACACCAGTTGGATTCCCTTCCTGTAACTGTCACTTCATCTGTTTTATTCCTGTCATCTCTAACCTCTCCAAAAATGCCGTCCAAAACTGCTCTCAATTACATCCTGCATCTCCTTCAGTATGGCTCATTCCTTCCTCCATCAGCCGGAGCTGCTCACCTTGGTATCTCTTGTTAGTATCTCAGACATTAAGGCCTCTGTTTCATCATTGTCTCTTTGACTGATGGACTGCTTCTCAAACTCTCATTCCTCTTCCCAAATCCAGTAAACGCTTAAAAAAGACCCCCTTCTTTTAAAAAACCCCCTCCTTTCCTGTTTCTTCACTTCTGCTTCTTTAGTGCTGAGCCCTTTTCTGCTGCTGTGAGAGCATGCTAGGCTTCCATCTGTGTTTTTTCCTCTTGACTCCCTAGACATTGTCCCCAGCCATCCTTATCAACAAATACGGCTTTGAATACCATCCTTAGCTCATGTTTTTCTTTGTCTTCCCTCTCCTTTTATTCCCAC